TAGCATTTTTTAGTGACAGAATTAATGCGCATTCAGTGTGTTTTAAAATCGCTGTGTAATCAATGTAAAGATGTATGGCTAATAAAAATATAGAAACGAGTTAAATTCTTCGCAAAATTCTCAATACATTTTATTATGTTATTTAATAAAATATAATTTAAACAGTTTATCATCTCAGATATCTCATTTTTAGATTAGAGTTGTGTGCAACAGCTTTAATATGCACTGAGTGCGCATAAGTTTTGCCAATGAAAAACAACATAATATTCTATTAGTCATCAAGAAAAAAATCTATTAATATCAACGAAAAAATAACGATCTATTAATATCAACGAAAAAATAACTCGTTACATTTTGAGTGACGATAACGGTAACGGTAACGAGTTATTTTTATGAGGTAACGTTGCTAACCTTACATATTAGGTGTAGTAAAAAGAAATCCATTATTTTTGTATGAAATTGAATGGAAAAATAATGGATTTCTTTTTACTACACCTAATATATGTATTCATTCAAACGTGTTTATTTCATAAATTCTCTTTATTTGTTTGCCATTTCGTTTACGAAGAGATTCGAAACCGTTAATTTTCATTAAAATCTTTTGCCAGTTCCAAAAATGTCAATAAATCATGAGAAGAGGTTTCTTCCGAGAATTAAATAATACATGCATAATTATGCAACTAGAAAATTCATAATTTGTATTATATACAATTTATACGCAGCATTAAGAGACGATACTCAGATTTGGGAAAAGCAACCGTGCATCATTTTTACGAGTGTCAATATTCTACATGTAATAGCAATTAATTTATATATAATGTTATATAATTGTCGAATTTTTTTCAGTATAATTTTTTCTCTATAAATTAATCAGAAACGTTTCGATTGTATTACTGCTTAAATTCTAAGCAGAATCGTAACATATTCAATTTCTTATCAGCTATAAAATTTAAAATAAATTGTAGATACTTATGAATAATTATATTATACGTCTTAGGATAAGTTAGAATATTAGTCATAAATTCTTATAAGTTTTATGAAAACAATGTTACGAATCTTATGATTCTGCTTAGAATTTGATCTATAAATCAATATAAATAAATAGAAGAGTTACAAGCCAGTTAAAATATAAATTAAGAATATTTAATATTTTGATATAAATATAAAGCTAGTGATAATTTCAGAATTTGTTTCCTCTTCGAAAAACTATTCTGTTCACCAACAATTTTAACAGCTTTAGTCAAACTGTTGTGAATCAAACTTTAAAAAGAAAAATGCAGTAATTACTATAATCCATATAAGCCATAATGCGCTATCAAAGCAGAGAACAAATAATTCCGACAGTATCAGACGATGTTATCTACTTTATTTTATTTTACTAGATAACTTATGTAATATACTTATGTATTATAATTTTCTGAATGCATCTTAACATTGAGAATGAATCCGATCGGCGTCGAAACGTTTTTTATTATAGCCTTTCCATTTATTTATACCGATTTATTCTAAGTAAGCCATATTAATTTATGATAAATCTTATTCAGTACGAAAAATATTTTTAATTATTTTTCATATATACTGAGATTTAGTACAGTCGAAACCGATTAATTTATAAAGAAAATCGATTGATTTCCGATTAATTTATAGAGAAATAAATAATTTAATTCTTAATGTTATAATAAACTAGTTTATTTTTAAGAATTCAATAAACATTGATTTTTACCTTTTTAATTATTAATTTTTACTTAGCGATCTCACACTAGATATTTTATATATTTTATTGAGAAATAATTAAAATCGCAAGCACCAAATAATGTTCCAATAAAATAATATTGGAAAATTACAATTTAGAAAAATAGTATAGATAATCTAAAACATTGTATACATTTTTTATATGTATATACAGGATGGGCCATTTAGCATTTGGAATTTCAACTATCGGTTATTTTGAGTTTGAAAGGCGTAATAACATTTATGACATATCAGAAATTTAGTTTTTTGTTTGACATTTACGAAATGGGTCGCTATACGCTCGAACAAAATTGAGAAATATTGAAAACTTACTTCCAAAGTGGTGAGTCTTCAACCCAAACTGTAAGAAATTTACGTGGAAAATTGGGCAAAAAAGAAATGCCTTCAACGCAGTTTGTGGATCAATTTGTGAAGCGAATTCGGCAAATTGGATCCTTATTGGATAAAGCAAGTCGTTCACGTACTCGTCCAGTAAGGTCAACCGAAAACATTGCTGCTGTTGTTCAGAGTATGATTGAACAAC